GGCAACAAAAGCAAAAATAAACAAATGGGAATAAATCAAACTAAAAAGCTTTTGTACAGCAAATGAAAACACCAAGGAAATGAAAATGCAACCTACTGAATGAGAGATGTTATTTGCAAATGATATATACAATAAGGGGGTTGATATCAAAATACAAAAAAACTCATACAACATATTATCAAAGAACAAAAACCTCAATTAAAAATGGGCAGCAGATGTGAACAGACATTTACCAAAGAAGATATATTGACAGCTATCAGGAACTTGAAAAGGTACTAAACATTACTAATCATCAAGGAAATGTAAATTAAAACCACACTGAGATACCACCTCACACATATCATATGCTTATTATCAAGAAGACTATAAATAAGTGTTGGTAAGGATGGGAAGTAAAGGAAAACTCTCACACTGTCAGTGGGATTGTAAATTGTTGCACCCACTTTGGAAATCAGTATGCAGCTTCCTCAAAAAGCTGAAAAGAGGACTTCCCTAGTGGTGCAATGGTTGGGAGTCTGCCTGCCGATGCAGGGGACACAGGTTCAGTCCCCAGCAGAGGAAGAATCTATACCACAGGGCACTGTAACTATGGAAGCATGCGTGCCCTGGAGCCTGGGCGCCACAACTACTGAATCACACGCACTGCGACTACTGAGGCCTGGGGGCTCCAGCACCAGGATCCGCAACAGAAGCCACCACAATGAGAAGCTTGGTGCTGCAACCCGAGCAGGCCCTGCTCACCACAGTTAAAGAAGGCCTGTACAGAGCAACAAAGGTCCCACAGCCAAAACAAATAAAGGATTTTTACACACCGAAAAGAGAACTACCATCCAGCCCAGCAAGTCCGCTTCTGGGTATTTATCTGGAGAAAAATAAAATACGACTTTACAAAGATGTGTCGCAGCACTATTCACAAAAGCCAAGACATGGAAACAACCTAAGTGTCTGTCAATGGATGAACAAAGATGTGGTACGTGTGTATAAACATATATATAAACACACACATGCATATATATGATGTTATATATTTAACATTATACAACATATATATATTATTACTCAGCCATGAAAAGAAGGAATCTTGCTATTCGTGACAACATGGGTAAACATGAAGGGTATTACACTAAGTGAAATAATTCAGAAAAAAACAAATACCATATGACCTCATTTACATGTGGAACCTAAAAAACAAAACAAACAAAAGGAATAAAATAAAACAGAAACTGAATATACATACAGAAAGCAAACAGGTGGCTGCCAGAGGGGAGACAGGTGGGGATGGATGTGAAATAGGTGAAGGGGATTAAGACATACAAAGTTCCAAATATATTAAATAAACAAGTCATAGGGATGTAATGTATACATAGAGAATACAGTCAATAACATTGTAACAACATTTATCATGATAGGTAGTAACTGGTTTTATTGTTGCTATCATTTCATAATGTATAAAACTCATTCTATTATACACCTGAAACTAATATAATAATACATTTTAATTATAACTTTTAAAAACTACGTTTATAATAATTGGAAACCAAACCAACCAACCAACCATTACACAATTAGACTAAGGTAGTTTTAAAGCAAGAAACATTCTCAAGATGAAGAGATTCAACAACCTGTCAGACTATGACAACTCTAAAATAAAAATAATAATAAAAGCTCATGATATGCAAAGCAAAAATTAGCAGAGCCAAACGGAGGAAATTTTAAAACACCTGTCTCTCAGTTACAGACAATACAATAAAAGGCAACAACAACAATAAAAAATATGTAATGAAAGGGAAAATTTTAAAAGAAAATAGAAAATTTGAATCACATGATCTGAACCTTGACCTGACACATAGAAAGCACATCACCCAACAACTGTAAAACATACGTGCTTTTCACACAACAGAAAACATTCCATAAAATTGACTAGATGCTGGGTATATGGTCAAAGGATTAATACCACACAGAATATGTCTGAATTAAATATGTCTGTGAATATGTCTCTGAATATGGCCCTCTAAATTAAACTAGAAATCAATAACCAAAAGGGAACTATAGTATATCACTAGAAAATGTTTAAAACAGTTTAAAATAAGTCAAAGACATATCCACAACAGAAAAATTATATACTGTTGAGTGATTATTAAAATATTACCTATAAAAACTTATGGATATGGGGTTTTCCTGTCGGTCCAGTGGTTAAGAATCTGTCTGCTAATGCAGGGGACACAGGTTGAAGCTCTGGTCTAGGAAGATCCCACATGCCACGGGGGAAGTAAGCCCATGTGCCACAACTACTTAGCCCTTATGCTACAACTCCTGAAGCCAATACACACAGAGGCGGTGCTCTGCAATGAGAAGCCCACGCTCCCCAACCAAGAGTAGCCCTGCTCACTGCGGCTAGGGAAAGCCCATGCTCAGCAACAAAGGCCCACCACAGTCAAACATTTAAGGATAGAAAAAAACTTGCGGGTGTGAGTACTGTGTAAAAATTGTGTTGGGAGTTCCCTGGTGTCTAGTGGTTAGGATTCATTGCTTTCATTGCAGAGGCCTGGGCTTGATTCCTAATTTGGAAACTGAGATCCCATAAGCTGTGTGATGGAATAAAAAAAAAAAAAATTGTGCAGTACATCTATAACATAAAAAGCAGTATCATCAAAAATAAGGATTAAAAATTTGAAAAAAATCCATGCTAATGTTTAATAAATTTTAATATCTTGATGAAAAGAATTTTTTTCTAGGAAAATGTAGATCAACAACATTACCCAGGAAAAGAACAAACATTTGAATAAAGCCACCTTAGAAGACATTATATAGGAAACATCCCCTCTCCTGAAAGATCTAGGCCCCAATCACTTGGCATATGAAACATTTTCAAGCCTTCAAGGAACAGGTAAAGTTTCTATTATTTAAATTGCTTCAGCAGAACTGGATGACCCATGAACAATGTGAGGGGTTAGGGGCAATGATCCTCCACATAGTGGAAAATCTGAGTATGACTTTACAGTAAGCCCTCCACATCTGTGATTTTGCACCCAGGCATTTAGCCAACTTTGGATTATGTAGCACTATAGTATATAATACTGAAAAAAAACCTGTGATGCAGTGGACCTGTACAGTACAAACACATGTAGTTCAATGGCTAACTGTAAAACTTGTTCATTAAGTAAGATAATGGTAGTTTCTTTTTCAGAAATTAAAAATGGAAAATGGCTCAAATATCATGGAAATTAGGTTTTTGCTCCATTTTGTAGCTCTTATTCAATAGCATTCAGAAAAAGTAAAAAATTGTGAAAGAGACAAAAGTAATTAACTTCAAATGTCTACCTAGAAAACTCAAGATAAATAACTGAAAAATAACTAGAATGAGGGAGTTCAGTACAGTGGCATCACACAAAATAGCCATTCAAAAATCAATTTTTATTAATAAATTAGAAAATATAACGGTAAAAAAAAAGTCCCAGTTTCAATAGCATCAAAAACTATAGTTTACCTATTTGACTTAACAAGAAATATTCAAGACCACTATGAAGCAAGATATAATTTCCTCTTTCCAAACATCAACAAAGACCTAAATGAATGAAGAAACAAACCATTTCACTTCTCTCAAACCATCCTCTATAGTCAACAAAATTCCAGTTAAAAACAGAAAGTCCCAACTGAATTTTCATTACCATTGCACAATGATTCTAAAGATCATGTAGTTAGATAAAAATCAAGAAGCTAGGAAAAGAAGGAAAGACTTGACCTAACAGATATCAACCTAGATCTATTAAGCTAGAGTAATCAAGATAATACTGTCCTGGCAGAAAGAAATAGACCAATGGAACAGAGTGGTTTGTCTAGAAATATCTTGAGTATTCATATGAAATTTAGGACATATTAAAATCTGTATTTTAAATTAGCTGCAAAAGTGGAAAAGGATAGTTACTGAATAAATGATGATGGAATAAGGGCAAGTGGTTATTTATTTGAGGCCCAACCTCATGCATAAACAAAAATTATTTATAAAGAGTATATTATATATATATACTATAAAATGAAAAGATCTTCCTTAATAATGTACCAAATATCCATAAAGGAAAGAACTGAAAGATTTGACAATATAAATATTAAAGTTTCATAGAACAAATGACTTACGAAGTTAATAGACTTCACGACTTCATTTCAGATAAAGCACAAAAATAGCAGAACAGATCTATGTTGTTGGAGGGCCAAAGAGTAGCCTGTTACCTTGACTTGGGGTGGGGAGGGTCAGCATAGAGAACTAGAAAGGAGCGTGGGAGTGGAGACATCAGGGTCCCAGTGGTCTCTTTAACTCTGCATTTCTTGGTGTGGATGCTGACTACACAAGGATGGTTCAGACTGCAATATTTTAGGGTTAACATTTCAGATATAGTACTCTTCTGTGGTAAACTTAAAGACGAGAGTATCATAACGGCATAGTGAGAGAGGAGGATAAAGGAGATCAAGACAAAATTTCACTTTTGATTTTTAAATTATCTGTACTTCATATATTTACCCAGGAAGCACGTTTAATCTGCTTAACTTATTTTCTAAAAAATAAGCAAGCATATGTATGTGACACGTAACACGTAAGACGTGCTGTGCTGTGCTTAATCACTCAGTCGTGTCCGACTCTTTGTGACCCCGTGGACTGTAGCCCCCCAGGTTCCTCTGTCCGTGGGGATTCTAGAATACTAGAATACTCCAGGCCAGAATACTAGAGTGAATTGCCTGCTCTTCTCCAGGGAATCTTCTCAATCTAGGTATCAAACTCGGGTCTCCTGCATTAGAGGCGGATTCTTTACCAGCTGAGCTCCCAGGGAAGCCCAAGAATACTGGCGTGGGTGGCCCATCCCTTCTCCAGGGGATGTTCCCGACCCAGGAATCAAACTCAGATCTCCTGCATTACAGGCGGATTCTTTACCAGCTGAGCTCCCAGGGAAGTCCATTTAAGACATGACTTAAGTGCAGTTAAGACAATTCTATAGGGCATACTCTACCTGTGAATTTAATATGCTGGTAATTTCATGTGCATCAACATTGGCTTCATCCAATTGCAAGCAAAACAAGTTTTTGGCAACGTGGACAAAATCTAAAACGGAACACATTTCAGTAAGAATACAGCACTTAACCTTATCTAAGTAAACTTTACCTTTCTCTACATGAAGTTGAAGCTATATGTTATAATAACAGTTAAAATTTAACTGACTTAAATAGGATTAATAACAACAACAATAGTAGTAGCAGTAATAATAATAATAGCAGTGAATGTTTCTGTAACTGCCTCAAATGCTAGGAATGGCACTTTGTAATTTCATCTCCAGAATTTTCTGAGATAGACCCTTTAATCCTCTCCATTTTCTAGTTTGCGGCTAAGATAAGTTAACTTGGCAAATAAGTAGCAGAGCAAGATTCCATTTAAAGTCTGACTCAAAGACATATTCTCTTGATTGTTATATAACACTGCCTAATGCCAACCTGGCAAACTGTAAGTTTCTTTAGACATGCAGTGCAACATGTTCATCTATCTTCAATTTTTTAAAAAAATTTGGCTATTATATTTTTACTTTCCAATGATCTTTTTAATTGTTCCTATTTTACAATATCCTACTCTTATTTCATGGAAAGCTTAGTTTTGTTTATTGTTTCTAATATATGGTTTACCTGAAGTTCTCTGCTCTTGCAATATTCCTTTTTTCTGAGTTCCTCTTTTTCTATTTATCTGCCACTTTGGGGCTTTACATTCTATGTTGAAGGATTTCTCCAAATGTTTGATAAATCCTGGCTTTAAGTTCACATTCAAGAAAAATTAGGTACTAAATCATTGACTGGAAATTTTGTGTGCATAACTCTCTTTGTTAGCCAGTGGGTTTCACTACAGAGTAATCAGGTAGCCAACTATTTTGATGTCTTGTTCAGGTTCTTTGGAGAAACTCCTACAACTGGTTACCCTACCCATAGGGTATAAATATGGTTGCAAATATCACTGAGCAATCTGAGTGTGTGTTGTGAGAGATAATTCACCATACATACCCCTAAATTCCCTAGCTACTGGCAACTATAGGTCCAGAATCAATCTGGTTTAATTTCTCAAGAGGATAGACTTATTTTCCTCTGCAAGGGTAAGGGAGTGGTAGTTGCTGGATTGCTTGAAAGAGGGCAGGGAAAAGCATACCTAATTGCTCCTTACATAGATTCCTAACAACTCTGTTCTAAATGCCCTGCCTACACCCAGCCTTAAGTACTTGATGCTCTCAATTCCTAAACCTTTCTAGGAATTGGCTTGTTCCTGCTGTGATTCCCCTGTCTTTTCAAACACTTGGGCTTTACATGCCTCTGCTCACTAATTCATTTACTGTCCTCATTTACTTTCTGTCCTTATATATTCTGGTTGTACATGTATTTCTGTTTCTTGTTCTCATTATTTGGTGATTTTCAAAAGGAGAGGGGAGCAAATATATTTTTTTAGCACTTCAAAACCCCAAATTTCTTTCTTTAGCAATGCTGATGCTTTTAGAATGATACAATGTTGCATCTACTCTATAAAAAAATTATTAACTTCTTAATGCTGTTAAGGATACAAAAAACAGTTACATTCAAACATTACTAGTGGCAGAACAAATATGTGTGTAAAATGTCTCTGAAAAACAATTTATCAATATATATGAAAAGTCTAAGCCACTTGTGGGAATTTATCCTAAGAGAAAGAAGAAAAAAAGCTATATAAATATAGAATTATTTATATTATCAGTTAATGAAAAACCATCAACATTTCCAATAGTGCGTTCTTTTTTTTTTGTTTGTTTATTTATTTATTTATTTTTTTATTTTATTATTTTTTTTATTTAATTAATTTATTTATTTATTTTTTATCACAACCATAGTGTATCTTTTTTTTTTTACATGTATTCCCCATCCCGGTCCCCCCTCCCACCTCCCTCTCCACCCGATCCCTCTGGGTCTTCCCAGTGCACCAGGCCCGAGCACTTGTCTCATGCACCCAACCTGGGCTGGTGAACTGTTTCACCCTAGATAATATACGTGTTTCAATGCTGTGCTCTTGAAACATCCCACCCTCGCCTTCTCCCAGAGTCCACAAGTCTGTTCTATACATCGGAGTCTCTTTTTCTGTTTTGCACATAGGGTTATCGTTACCATCTTTCTAAATTCCATATATATGTGTTAGTATACTGTAATGGTCTTTATCTTTCAGGCTTACTTCGCTCTGTATAATGGGCTCCAGTTTCATCCATCTCATTAGAACTGATTCAAATGAATTCTTTTTAATGGCTGAGTAATATTCCATGGCCAATAGTGCGTTCTATGATATTATTATATAATATTGGTTGAAAAAAAAGTTTAGACTTTCATAATAGCAGAACTAGGGCTTCTGTATTTTGTATTATTTCTTTAGTTATTACTAAAGTAACATTTATACAATAAATTAAAAATAGACCATAACATGATAGAATGATGATATTTTAAAGCTGAAAGAGTCTAAGAAAGCTCTCCTTTCTGTTGACTCAGTTAGGCCAGTAATTTTGAGTTTTTAGAATACTGTTTAAGGCATTATGTGCATGCTCAGTCGCTTCACTTGTGTCTGACTGTTTGAGACCCCATGGACTGTATATAGCTCTCCAGGCTCCTCTGTCCATGGGATTCTCCAGGCAAGAATACTGGGGTGGGTTGCCAGGCCCTCCTCCAGGGGATCTTCATGACCCAAGGATCAAATCCGCATCTCCTGCTTTACAGGTGGATTATTTACCGCTGAGCCACCAACAAAGTCCCACCCTTTAAGGAACTTGACATATTAATATAAGTGGTTTTTGTTTTTCTTTTCTTCCTTCTAAAGAAGAGGCACTCTTAATGAATATGGGCCACAGCAACTCTTTGACCAAGTTTCTGTGATGATGCAACATGATGAACCTCACGTTACCTCCAAAAGACACTGTCCCCTTTGGGTCTACTTGTATTTGCTGTCTCAGGGCTTGGTGTTGCTCTTTTGTGGGCTGAATTCCAAGATAATTTAGAGCCTGGAATGGAAAGGATGTATGTGAAGCAATTTTTACAAATCTCCAAAGAATAATTATACATTATTTTACAACCCAGTGAAAAGAATCAATATCTGGAACAGTGACCATGATCAAAAAAGGTCTGATAAATATTTATGAATTAATTTTCCATTAAACATTATCTTCTTGATCTTCCACCACCTCACTTTTTCCCCCAAGGAAAGCTGGCACTTTAGCCAGTGTCAAATTTATAAGCATATCCCTAGAACCAAAATTCAAACTATTCCTTAGTTTTTAAAAATATGTGACAAGGAAGAAGAAAAATGCAAGAAAATTCTAATAAATCTGACTTAATGTCAACTTTTTGTTTGATATCTTGTACTTGAGACCAAAACTAAGGTTGCCAAGAATTAGGTCGAATACAAAAAATTCTAATTTTTGGTTTGTTTATGGGCAAGCTTAAACAAATAATAAACTAAAAAGCATTCTCTGGAACCCACTTCTTTCTACTGTCTCTTTTTAGTACCCATAATTGGTTAAAATTTCAGAGACTGATAGTTGTATTACTATTTCAATGTTTACTCTCTCCTTGTTCTTTAGTAACAGAACCAGAATTTCTAGCTAAAAACATCATCAAATAGCTAAAAGATATTTCCTAGCCTCCTTTTCAGCTTGATGAGGCCATATGACCATGTACTAGTCAAGGAGATGGAAGGCAAACTTGCAGGGAACTTCCAGCAAGTCTTTCAAAAGTAGGGGTAGGTGCTTCTTGTCCCTTTTCCTTCTCACTTAAGTCTTAATTAAAAGAAAGAAGAAAAAAAAAGAATGAAAGAAGAAAAAGAAAGGAGGTAAGAAAGAAAAGGTTGCTGGAATTTAAGTTATCTTGGTTCATGAGCTACCTCAATAAAGATGGTGGAGCAGAAAGATACTTAAAGCATGAGGAACCTCCATGCCAGCTCTGGATTACCTTCTTTCAGGTTTCTTTTTGGTTTAAGATAAACAAAACTCTAATGGAAATCACTGTTGGTTTAGGTTCAAAGGTTATATACAGCAAAATATAGCCATACACTAATGCATAAAATCTAACTAGATGACCTATTACTAGATTCTGGCAAGAACATCAAAATTAAAATGTAGGTAAAAGTTAATACTAGTAATTGCCCTTTATATGTTGCTTCCTCCTTTGAAATCTGCTAAGTCATCCATCACTTCATTTAAAAAATAGGTATTTAGTGCTTACTATTTGTTATTCACTGAACTATGCAAAGGGACACACAGATAAGATATTGCCACTACCTACCATCATCTCTATGGTGAAAACAACATATAAATAAATGTAACTAGTGTAATATGCAATTTAGTAAAGTTGTGTACAGAGTGTGTGTGCTTATTTGCTCAGTCGTGTCCGACTCTTTGTGAACCCATGGACTGCAGCCAGCCAGACTCCCGCAGCAAAAATAAATAGGTCAATGTATAGATGGCTGGGCATAGTGAGAAAAGTAAACAAGAAGAAGGGAAAACATCAGGAGATTTCTTCAAAAGTGATTCTAGAGCTTAAGTCAGCATCATCTGCCTGCCCTGTCTATACAGTCATAGCCTTGCATAACATAGGATAGTGATTCTTAACTTTTGACAGTTTTTTCCTTTAGTCATAAAAAATATTCTAAATACAGAAAAAAAGGAAAAACAATAATACAAAAAACACCTAAATAGACACTCATTGGTATCTGCCTATTTAACAAATAAACATTATACACTTGGCTGAAAGCTTTCTCCATTGTTCTCAGCAGGAACCAGTATCCTAAAGCTAAGGTAGCCTTCCTGTTCAGGATTTGAGGCCACTACATTTATTCCCTAATAACACCTACTCTTATATATTTATGATTTCACACGAACAGTATAAGGCAAAGGATAGCCTTACAAATTATTTTTATCTTTTACCTCAGTGTTATAGTTTAATATTGAACATACTGACAAAAACTAAAGTGTGATAACAGCAAATGTTGTTAAGAATGTAGGAGAAAAGAAGTGCTTATATACTAGTGTTGTGCATAAATTGGTACAACCAGTTTGGAAACAATTTTACAGTATCTAAGAAAGCTGACAGTATATATACCCTATGATGAGGAGATATGTAAAATGTCATTATAAAAAACAGACTGGAGAAATTCTAAAAAGTCCATCAATTAGAGAATGGATAATAATAATACATTCATCCAGTTGGACACCATTTAAATTTTAAAAAAGTGAACTATTTGCTGTTATCACACTTTAATTTTTGTCAGCATGTTGATTATGGAATAGTATGTTGTTTGTTCATTTGTATTCTAACTATTGATACAAGTAAGATTTAACTTCCTTTATATATTTCCTAGCAATGTTTTTGACATAACTTAGAAGTATATTTTAAATTTTCATATAGAACATTCTAGGAAGTATTTTCTTTCTTTTTTTATTTTTTAGTGAGTCCTAATTTGGTTGCACTCGCCAAATTGTAAAAACCCAAAATGTTCTGCTGCTGCTGCTGCTAAGTCGCTTCAGTCGTGTCCGACTCTGTGCGACCCCATAGACGGCAGCCACCAGGCTCCCCCGTCCCTGGGATTCTCCAGGCAAGAACACTGGAGTGGGTTGTCACGTCCTTCTCCAACACATGAAAGTGAAAAGTGAAAGTGAAGTCACTCAGTTGTGTCCGACTCTTCGCGACCCCTGGGACTGTAGGCTACTAGGCCCCTCCACCCATGGGATTTTCCAGGCAAGAGTACTGGAGTGGGTTGCCACGTCCTTCTCCAAAAAAGTCCTGAGACATTGCCAAATGTCCCCTGAGGCAAAACACCTGCATCCCTGACCTTAAGAACCACTGCTCCAGAGACAAACACTATTTGTCAACTGGTGTATAGTTTTCCTGACTTCTTCTTTGAATATAGCATCTATATATTAAAATAAATAACATATATTTTTGCCAAAATTAAACTACATACAGTGCTTTCTACTCTATGTCATCGTGTCCAACTCTTTGCAACCCCATGGACTATAGCACAACAGTCCTCCCAGACCTCACCATCTCCTGAAGTTTACCCAAGTTCATGTTCATTGCATCAGTGATGCCATCCAGCATCTCATCCTCTGATGCCCTCTTCTCCTTCTGCCCTCAGTCGTTCCCAGTATCAGGGACTTTTCCAACAAGTCAGTTGTTTGCATCAGATGACCAAAATACTGGAGCTTCAGCTTCAGCATTAGTCCCTCTAACAAGTATTCAGGGTTGATTTCCCTTAACATTGACTGCTTTGATCTCCTTGCTGTCCAATGGACTTTCAGGCATCCTCTCCAGCACCACAGTTCAAAGGCATCAATTCTTTGGTGTTCTGCCTTCTTTATGGTCCAGCTCTCACAACCATACATGACCGCTGGGAAGACCATAGCCTTGATGATATGGACCTATGTCAGCAAAGTAATGTCTTATTTTTCAACACCCTGTCTAGATTTGTCATAGTTTTCCTGCTAAGAAGCAAACGTCTTCTGATTTCATGGTTACAGTGACCATTTGCAGTAATTTTACAACCCAAGAGGAAATCTGTCACTACTTCCACCTTTTCCCCTTCTATTGCCATGAAGTAATGGGGTCAGATGCCATGGTCAGTTTTTTTTTTGTTTTTCTTTTAATATTTAGTCTTAAGCTGGCTCTTTCACTCTCCTCCTTCACCCTCATCAAGAGGCTCCTTAGCTCCTCTTTGCTTTCTCTCATTAGAGAGGTATCTTCCGCATATCTGAGGTTTATGTCTCTCCCGCCTATCTTTATTACAGCTTGTAACTACCACAGCCTGGCATTTCTCATGATATGCTCAGGTATAGGTTAAATAAACAGGGTAACAGCAGACAGCCCTGTTGTACTCCTTTCTCAATCTTGAACCAATGAGTCCAGTATTCCCATCTCTTTAAGAGCTTTCCACAGTTTGTTATGATCCACACAGTCAAAGGCTTTAGCATAGTCAATGAAACAGAGGTAAGATGTTTTTCTGGAATTCCTTTTTCTGTTTTTTTCTGGTTTCTATGATCCAACGAATGTTGGCAATTTGATTTCTGGCTCCTCTGCCTTTTTTAAATCCAGCTTGGACATCTGGAAGGCCTTGATTCACATAATGCTGAAGCCTAGCACAAAAGATTTTAAGCATGACCTTACTAGCATGGAAGATGAGTGCAACTGTCCGATGGTTAGCACATTCTTTAGTATTACCCTTCTTGGGAATTGGAATGAGGGTTGACCTTTTCTAGTCCTGGGGCCACTGCTGGGTCTTCCAGATTTGCTGACATATTGAGTGCAACACCTTGATGGCATCATCCTTTAGGGTTCTGAATAGTTCTACCGGAATTCCATTACATCCACTAGCTTTATTAACAGCAGTGCTTCCAAAGGCCCACTTGACTTCACTCTCCATAATGTGACTGACCACATGATTGAAGAAATCTGGTTCATTAAGATCTTTTTTGTATAGTTCTTCCATGTATTTTTAACATCTCTTCTTGATCTCTTCAGTGTCTACTAGGTCTCTACCATTTCTGTCCTTTATAGTGCCCATCTTTGGGCAAAATGTTGCCTTGATATTTCTAATTTTCCTGAAGAGATCTCCAGTCTTTCCCCTTATTTTTTTTTCTTCTAGTTTTATGTACTGTTCATTTAACAAGGCCTTCTTGTCTCTCCGTGCTATTCTTTTAACTCTTTGTTTAGTTGGATATACTTTTCCCTTTCTCCCTTACTTTTCACTTCTTGTCTTTCTTCAGCTATTTGTAAAGCCTCCCCAGATAACTGCTGTGACTTCTTGCTTTTTCTTTTTCTTTGAGATGGTTTTGTTCGCTGCCTCCTGTACAATATTATGTACCTCTGTCCATAGTTCAAAATTATTTAAAATACCAGATAGAAAATAACAAATCATGTCGTTTTCACACCTTTTTCAAGATTCCACATTGTCACTGAGCAGCGCGAGCTGCATGCAACAAATTCTGATAAATTCTCTTTTCATTTTCAT